TTTTTTAGAGGCTGAGGGAAGTAGCATATTGAAATGCAACTGTGCCCACCCACATGCTCACCGTGTTTTCTTCTGGTCTCACAAAGCACTAACCGTGGTGTCTTTGGGGCCCACACAAGGCGGACAGAAGGAGCCAGAGGATGTGTGGCCCACATACAGCTGACAGTGCTTTGTGTTCCTCAGAATGACCATGGCCGTGTCTTTGCCTCTGCAATATTTAATTATGATGAGATAATAAAGATCCAATATTTAGTAAGATAATCTATTGGAGATTTACTTGTAGTTTGCAACTAGGAAGAGCATGAGACAGTATAAACTGTTTCTTCTCCATTACAGACCATATTGCATCATCTCAAGGCTTTTTTTTGCAAGCATTCAAAGTAAGTATTAAAGAAGGCAATAGGCCAGGCATGGTGGTTCACACCTATAATCTCAGCACTTTGGGATGCTGAGGTGGGAGGATCATTTGAGGCCAGGAGTTTGAGCAATATAGTGAGATTCCATCTCTACAAAACTTTTTAAAAATTAGCTGGGTATAGTGGCATGTCTGTAGTCCCAGCTACAAGAGGCTAAGGTGGGAGAATCACTCTAGCCCAGGAGGTTGAGGCTACAGTGAGCTATGATTGCACCACAAACTCCAGGCTGAGCGACAGAGCAAGACCCAGTCTCTAAAAAATAAAAAAGAAGGTATGCAACTGTGCTGAATACAACTTAGAAAAGTAGATTTAGGAAGTACAATCACCCAGGTCGCCTGCCTCCTGGTCTACCATGTGGCCTATGCATGGCCTCCCTCCTCTGATGTCTGTACCTGTAGATCACTTGGCCCTAAAGTGATCACCGGCACCTGTGTGAAATGGGCCGGTCCCTTCCTTATGTGCCCCAGGACCATGTTATGGAATGGGCTGTGTTGCAGAAGCTGAAGGTAGAAACTGTGGTAGGCAAGAAGGGTCCATGGCAGGGCTGTGGCACTGGGAACTTTGGAGAGGAAGGGAGGAGAGTGGGGGATGGACGTCTGGGCCAATGTGTGCCATTCCTGGCCCGCAGAACCACAAAAACCAAACAAACTTGACTCAGTATTGGGTTCTTCAAACTGGTGTTTTAGATTGTTCTTTCATTGAATTGGGAAAACTTACCATGTTTCTTACTATATTTGAACCACACCCCCACTCCACAGCTTTTGTGGTATTCCATAAAAGCTTTCTTGTGCTCCAATAGGGCTACGGAGTTGCGTGACTGCAGGGGCACCATGCTACAAGGCACATAAGGCTCTCAAGACCTTGGGGAGTAATGCCATCTACACATTTAGGAAAGGCTTGTGGGATGTTGGAGGAAGAGGAAAGAAGGCATTAGAAATGGAGGAAAGAATGAATGGATTTCTGAGGAGAAAGGTGGTTAAGAGAATGGAAACATTCCATTTAGTTCAAGGACTAATCTTTTTTGGGCAATGTTGAGTTCTGCTTTGGAAAAGTACTAATATTTGCCACAAAATATTTTTTGTTTTGTTTTGGTCTGGTTTTTTTTGAGTCGGAGTCTTACTCTCTTGCCCAGGCTGGAGTGCAGTGTTATGCTCATTGCCACCTCACCTTGTGCAGCCTCAACCTGCTGGGCTCAGATTATCCTTCCACCTCAATCTTCCAAGTAGCAGGAACTATAGGTGCACACCACCACACCCAGCTAATTTTTTGATTTATTGTAGAGATGTGGTCTCACCAAGTTGTCCAGGCTAGTTTGAACCCTTGGACTCAGGCAATCCTCTTGCCTCGGCTCCCAAAGTGCTGGGATTACAGGCTTGAGCCACATTGCCCAGCCAAAAAATATTGTTAATCCTCATTAATTTTCCTTTATGACTTAGGGATTGATCATGCCTATATCAGTAAAAAGGTTCTTGTTTCACCAAATGAATTCTCAAAATAACATTTTCAAAGCCCTTCACCTACTGGAAAAATGCATCTAGAAAATTGGAGTGAGACTAGAAATTAAGAAAAATTTTTATTAAAACTTTGAATAAATGGAAGAATTGGACCTATCCTCACCTTTGAGAATGCAAGGAATGTTCTATCTTTGTCTGAAGTTCTAGGAACAACAGCAGCCAGTCCCCTGGCATGAAAAATTCTCAGGTAATGAAACTTATTAGGGTTTCCCAGTCTCAACTTGAGTATTCTGAGTTCTAACTTTTAAAGTCTAAATAAAAAGTATTGTCCTCTTGAGCAAGGTGTAGTGGCTCACGCCTGTAATCCCAGCAATTTGGGAGGCCAAAGCAGGAGGATCATTTGAGCCTGAGAGTTTGAGGTTAGTCTGGGCAACATAGCAAGACCTCCTCTCTACACATTTTTTTTTTAATTAGCTGGCACGGTGGTGTGTGCTTGTTGCCCTATCTACTCAGGAGACTGAGGCAGAGGGATCACTTGCCTAGGAGTGCCAGAACAGTCTGGGCAATGTAGTAAGACCCTATCCCTACAAAAACCAAAAAGAATTAGCCAGGCATTGTGGCATACGTCTGTAGTCCCAGCTACTAAGGAGTCTGTGGTTGGAGGACCACTTGAGCTCAGGAGGTAAAGGCTGCAGTGAGCTATGATTGTGCCACTGCACTCCAGCCTGGGTGACAGTGAGACCCTATTTCTATTGTCCTTTTGAGTTTCATTGGTTTTCAATGGCTTTTTGAAATCACGAGCTCCCTTTCCACCCATACCATATGAACAAAGCTGCCCAGAAATGGCTGCCTTGATGCTATCCATGCTTCCTGTCCCTTCTTCCTGCCTTTTCTATCTGTATCCTTTAGAGAAAAAAAATCCACTAAGGCCCAGACTCAAAGGTAGAGGAAACAAGGTAGAGATCTGCAAGGGTTGATCTGGAGCAGTTGTCTCCCTGACCACATGGCTGTCCTCCGCACTCTACCTAACTGTGGATGGTCTCTGTTTGTTTGCTCCTTCACCAGAAGCAAGAGCACTCCCAGGGAGAAAAGCGCTGTGGTGTTTGCTATTCCTGAATTGGGATCAATTTTGCAATCTACATGCTGTGGAGACCAGTCCCTTCTGCATGGCTTTCTGCTTGAAGGCTACCTCCAAGTTGATGGTTATTCTTTTAAGCTTTTAAGCTGTTTCCCAGGCATGGACAATTGCTTAGCCAAATATTTTTGAAGGTGTTTTCTAAACACTGAAGTATCTATAGCTTTATCTATATTTAATTACATAATAATTACTTATGGCTTCATATTGAACTTGAGAAAATACTGGAGTAAAATGGAAAGAAATAGCACCACCTAGGGCCAAGTTAATGTCAGCTGTGTGGTTTCTGCCTTTCTTCTCCTTAGAGTTGTAGACTGTCATCACGTTTTTATGGGAAGGGTATGTTTTAAATCCTTATTCAAAGTAGTTTCCAGTTTGTTTGTCCTTGGACCCATTTGCAGTCCTGATAGCCAAGGCCAAGCTCTGGAATCAGACGACTCTGAGGAGCTCCCCTTCACTGTACAGCTCACGGCCAGGGGTGGACCGTGTTCTCATTCTCTTGAGAGCTTCCCCTTTTCCTCTAAAAATATTATTTCTGGTAAAACCTCAAGCTTACATGCATCCTCCTTTCTCAATCTCTTTTAATTCAGGTTTTAATCATATAAGATGGAGGGAAAAATTACATTTCTTTTTCCCTCCAACTACCTTATAGCCTTTAATTATAATGATATATATATATTTTTGAATCATGATGAAGGTACTGCCCTGACTAACTTTTTCCTTGGAACAGACTGTGTGTAATTTCTTTTTTTTCCCGAAGAAATAGGCTTGTGGAACATAATAAAAATTATTCTACTAAAACCTTGTGGTTGCATAAGTTCTATGGGCCCACAGTCTAAAGCAGTGGCTCTTACACTTTAGTTTCCTGTGCAAGTTAGAAATGGGAACCCTCTTACCCCATTTCCAATTCAGTAAGTCTGGGCTACGGTACAGAATTCATATTTCTAACAAGACCCCTGGGTGGTTCAGATGTAGATAGTCCTTGGTTCGCTCTAAGACATGCTTATTTAAGTTCTTATTTGTTTTCCAATGTGAAGTTTTTAAAACAAAGAGTCATGTTACAGCTACGGGTATTTGGATTTTGTTATTAAAATGGACATGCGTTTTTGAAATCTTGTATTTTAACCTCAGACTTAGAGAAAAGTTTCTCCTGAAACTTAGAAAAATAACAGTCACATAAATTTTTTTAAAAAAACAATACTTGAATGAAAATACATTCTGTCTGTTGAGGACACTTTTGCTCTAAAATAACAGTGATATTTTCTTTTGGGCCTGAGTGTTTTATGAAGAAATAATGTAAATGACTATTTCTTAATTAAATATATAGGACTTTGGTATTTGGTATAATGCTAATATAATCTGGTATAATAGCTTCTGTACATTTTCCGTGTTTGGGCTTAATCTATGTAAGGAAGTTCCATAATTTATATTGTGAATAATAAGAGGTGTGTTAACTTAGCACATATCTCCAGCCGATCATTCACATGGCAACTTGCTAAATAGTCACAATCCTATGATTGCTCATGAGTTAAGTGAAGTAAGAGATTATTTTTTTGAAAAATAAAAAAATTTGTTTTTAATGGAACTAGAATGTTGGGAAATGGTGAGGGTTCCAGGTCAGGTTTGAGAATTACAGTGATTTATAGCACGTCAGTCAACCTCAGCTTAAGCAGGACCACACAAATCAGCACATCATGTGTCTGTTTTTGTGTACTGTAGACAAATGATGAAGAACACCTTGAAGGAAACCTCCTTGATCAAATCACAGGAGAGGAAAAGCACATTTTGGATGATTATTTCTCTAATGTCTTTAAAATGTGATGCTATGTAGTAATGTGAGAGTTCACGCACATTTTATCTTTTTCTTTCCTATTGTAGTTGTTGGTCTTATCTTTGGTGTCTTCAGGACATTGTCAGCCCTGTCTTGGGAATGTTTCAGATTGATGTCACTGGCTCATGCTCACTTCTGTTGTTCTCTCTCCTTCACTTTTTTAGAGTAAAGATGGCAAAAGCCCATTGCACATGACAGCCGTCCATGGAAGATTCACTCGGTCACAAACCCTCATTCAGAATGGTAAGAGCCATGTGTCAGTTGTGTTGCTGTTGGAATGCTTTCTTGGTCTAAGCTTGACTGTCAGTCGCCTGAATGTGCAAGCAAGCGGACATCTTGGCATTTTAGGAGGCAAGGGTTTCCACAATACTCTGAGGAACTGTGCTAAGAGCTCTTCATTAGACACATTATCAACATCCAGCTTAGCAGTGCAGACAGAAAGCCACAGTTGCACGGTCAGTCCCCTGTCAGGCACAGAAGATGTGAGCTTTGAAACTGGAGGTAATGTACTTACACAGACTCACCACCCTGCACTTTTCACTCTGAAACTAATAAAGGAAAGTAGTACACATTGTCTAGCAACAAATCTGGATTGTTTTTAGATTTTAGAATTCTCTACAGTTCTCTACATTAATTAAGCTACTTGGGCAAAGGTGGGAAGATGAGATGACTCAGAGGAAAAGCAGGTAAATACGTGGTATAAAGGATCATGAAATTGCAGACTTGATGGAGACCTGGAAAGCCAAATGTATAGTAATTTTCCAGGCTCACAGCAGAGTTATACTTGAGCCATCAGGTTGTCTCTGAGGCCAAAGTCCCAGGAGGGTCACTTCACATCACAGGTTTCAGGTTACTAGGAGGAGGTCCCAGCTGGTGTTTCGAGTGGGCTGACTCCAACCATGCAACTTCTGTTATCTTAGCAAATCTTAGAGACAATAAAAAAGAAACAAGTTTAGTCCAGATCTTAAGTCCAGGTCAGTCTAGCAGTTCCTAAACTATTTGTAGTTGACCCACATTTCTGCTTCTCAAAATTCTGATATGAGTCCATTTCCTTGGCTGTGTTTTTTTCTCATCGGTAAGAATTTTGGACCACATACGCTTGAATTATTAGTGGCACTGAGCTTTATCTTAGGCACTCAAGTCATAAAACAAAGAAGTCGTTTGACATCTGGATGGAAGACCAGCCTGGGAAATTATGCTTAGGAAGCAAAATTTCTGCAGCAGAGCAAAGGAAATTTATACGTACTTCAGAGCAGCTGTCGGAGAAAGAGATCCCAACACGTTTCTAGTGAGCTGAGGAAAGTCATGTGGAAATTCCCTACATAGCCACCATCATCTCTAATTTAAAATCTGGGCTTCACCTTTGGCATTCATCTTCCTGAAAAGGCCACTTTGTCTCATTTTGCTGGATATAAATAAAGGTGAGGGGATGACCCTGGTCTCTTTCTTTTGGACACTTTTCTCATCCCACTGAGTTTCTCAACTGTTTTTCAGAAACAAACAAAACTTTTGAAACAAGCAAACAAGGTTTTTCTTTTTTTTAATATAGGGTCTCATTCTCTCACTAGAATGCAGTGGCATGATCATAGCTCACTGCAGCCTCCAACTCCTGGGCTTAAGTGATCCTCCTGCCTCAGCCTCCTGAGTAGCTGGGACTACAGGTGCCCACCACCATGCTTGGCTAATTTTCTTTTTTAAAGATTTTTTTTGTAGAGATGAAGTCTTGCTATATTGCCCAGGCTGGTTTCAAAATCCTGGTCTCAAGTGATCCTCTTGCCTCAGCCTTCCAAAGTGCTGGGATTTCAAGCATGAGCCACCACACCCGGCTCAAACAAACCAAACAGACAAAACCTGTAAACAATGGAATGTGAATGTAGTCAATGGGCCTTGGCTCTGTGGCTGAAAAACTTTGCTCCCTCTTGGAGCAACCTCAAGCAACAGAGACGAGGTTGGTGAGAGAGCAGTCCTTCCCCTTGTCTGTACCGCCTTCCCACAGCTTCATCCCGCATCACTGGTCATCTCTGGAGAATCAAGGCCATAACCATCCCCACCACTGTACTGCTAGCATACCCACAAGAGCCCAGGGGTGGCTGCTAACCTCTCCAAGAGCCGTCCTATGGGCCGAAAGACTTCTGTGTCCTCCCTGGAAATTCTTGCTAGACTTTTGAGTTGGACCAGGACCTGCAATAGACCCCATCTCTTCTCATGATCAAGGATCTTTGTTTCAGAGCTGACTCATTCTTATCTGGCCTGGCCTCTTGCTTTTGGGTTGGGTGGGAGCCAGAGTCCTGGGTTGTACGGTAGTTTTGGTGAATAGTCTACTGTGTATGATGATAAAGCCAATATGGGTTGTGTGTTTACACTGTGCCAGGCACTTAGCTCAATGCCCCATATAAATCCTATAATTACCTCCATTTCAAAGATGGGAAACTGAGGCAGAGATGTTGTCACTTGTGTTGGGACATATGGCCAGGATGTTGAAGAGCAAGGATCAGAACACAGGCAGTCTAACATGAGAGACTGGATGCCCAACTGCAACGCTAATAAACATAGTCCCCACAGTTTTTTAATTTGAGGCTTGTGTGTTCTAAGAGTCACTTATGTTTGACATGGAGCTGTTCCTCAGGAGGCACTCTGGTGTCTCTTCTCTCAGCTGACAGTTCTTGGCATCCATGACACACGTGAGGTAGTTCTTCCATCTGACTTTTTAAATGCCTGGGAAGCAGAATGGGAGGTTCTCTTTCCTCCTATCTGTTGGCTGCCTTCGGGGAGAATCCTGGGCCGCCCCCGGGACCCCCTCTCCAGAGATGCCAGGTCCTGGTGTCATCCCCCAGAGCAGGTTGCAGTGGCAGGAGCCCTCATCCTCAGGAGCTGGGGTGTGGCCCCACGTGGGAATGTGGTACAGCTCAGGGACACGCATAATGTGCCCCTGAGAAACGTACCTTGCATTTACTTTATTGTTTTGAGAGATTGCTTTCATGTGGGACTTGGTGTGGCCTTCCTCTGCTTCCCTGACTATCTTGGTCAGGTTCACTAGTACTTCATAACAACATTTTCCTCCCCGAGTCACCCTGCTTTGGTGAGATGGTCCTAAGAAAATCCTCTTATTGGTGAGCAGAGACCCCGTCTGCCAGGCAGCTGCGTTGTTACAGTGAGAGAGGGAGAGAAACTGGGTGGGGACACAGCCTGTGCAGGAGGCATCTGACCTGGCTGCATGCGCCAGGCAGGGACCTCAGATACTGACCAGTGGGTTGCAGTGATTCAGAAGTGATGCTGTCTTCACAGATGCTTAAACAACAAGTAGAGCTTAAGAGGGAGGTGTCCAGTGCCTGCTTGGGACATCTGGGTGGAAGGTTATTGACAGTTTTGCTCACAGTCCTTCCAAGGCCATTTGATGAGATGACTGTTCTCGTTTGTGCAATGAACAGCTAACTTCAGGTGAATGCTCAGAAACTACTGGCTAATTACCCACTCTGAGACACTCTGCATGCTTCTAAACTCACACATGTTTATTTTCCTCACTAATCATCAGTGATCAACTACCAACATTTAGCTTGCAACCCACAGATGAAGAGTAAAAATATTTAACTTGTATTCCAAGCAAAGTTTAAAGATTTCCAAGTGAAAATGGAAAGGTTTGTAGAGGGATTATAAAGCAGAAATTCGTTCATCTAAAATTACTACTTTAATAGAAAACGTATTTCTAAATAGCAAATACATAATCTCTTTTTTATTTTCCCATAAGGTTATGATGCTTTCCTGAAATATATTTTAAATAACAACAAAAGCATATATGGACACTAACTGCGTTTTTAAAGTTTTCACTTGACATATGAAATGGTAGCAGCAAGAAAATCCCCATCGGCTCAGACCCTGTCTCTACCTTTCCGTTATTTTCTATCATTCTTCTCTGCCCCATTTTTGGCCTATTTGAAAAGACTGGTAAATCTGGAGGCCTAACACTTCCTGAGAGCAGTCTGGTAGCTCTTGGCTGGGAAGGACGTGGAATGGTGTGGTGTTGTCCAGGGTGAAGGCTTCTCTGCAGCCTGGGGGCCTCCCTGCACCCCTTCTGAGCCCCTTCTGTGGGTGGACCTTTCAGGCACAACAGCGGGCAGTTCTCAAACAAGCCATGGACTGCCTGCATTGGCAACCTGTCCTCTGAGGCCCTGTGGGGACCTGGGGGCTGCCTGTCCCTAAATACCCTCAAGTCATACAAGGAATTGATCTCAGTCGGATTCTTCTAAATTCAAATCACAGTGAACTGTCTCTTAAGTCCCTAGAAGATCACAATAATTCGCTCTGTTTTATTGTTTTTCCTGATTATAAAATTAGAACATGCTCCCTGTAAACTAAAATTAAGACATTAAAGAGATCTCCTGTGTACCCCTGGCATGTCTCCCAAATCTCATCCTAAGAATTTTTATGGACAGTTTGGTGAGACTTCTGGATTATTCTATGTATTTAAGAATGTATATGTAAAGATGTACCATTATTATTTTATAGAAACGACTGTAGTCTATCTGGGCAACTCATCTTAGAAAGACCTGTTACACCACAGAAGCAAAGATTTGAGGACAGATCTGTATTTGTATCAAATTGCCATTTTTATTTCTCTGTTCCAGTCAGTCAAAATGGAATTACCTTTTTGTACACAGCTATGAAGCCGCAAACCCTAAATGTGCAAAATTCCTGGCAGTGAATTGACTTTCAAGCAAGGCTGTACACCCAGGTCCTGGTGATGAAGTAAGGCATCTCGAATTGTGTATGTGCTCACTGCAGCTGTTGAAGCATGTACCCATCCACAAAGCTCAGGCCTTTGGGATACTTATTTCACTTTGTGGCAAAGATTCTTATTCAGTAACTCTCTGTGCTACCAAAACACCTGTCTAGAAGTATTGTTTGCTGAAAATAATTGTCGGGGAGTTGTCAGTCACAGTGACCAAGATGAATGAAGGGTCGTACGGATGTTGTTAGGAAGATCACATATACGGTCTCATTGCAGAGACTGCACCCTGTCTAGGAAGTTAATGCTCCTTCCCCAGAGCTGAGATGACTGTCAGTGACTTCTTCTGGGTGTAGAACTTGAGTCAGCAGATGAACTCAGCCTTTCCCAAAGCCATGTGTCTATTGCGGGTCTTGACCATGTTCGTATCTTTGGTCCAGTAGTTCTAGTTCTAAAAATGTTGCTGAGGGAAATCATCTGAAATGTAGAGATTTGTAAATATGTTCATTCCTGTGTTTTTCTTAGCAAAAATTGAGGAATAGCCTCAATGTCTAATAACTGGAGACTTGCTAAGTAAATTCTCTGATTTTGTAAATACCGATATTATGTAGTTATTTATATTAATAAAAAAATTAATGACGGGAAGTGTCTGTGATGTAGCGTTATGGAAGAAAGCAGGATACAAAACTCTTTCTGCGATCTCAACTATGAGAATTTCCTATACCCACGCACATGCACACATACATATATACAACTGGAAGGAAACATTCTAGAATATTAATGCTGACTATCTTGGATAATCAGTGAATTTATAGATGACTTTGATTTTTTCCTTGGTATTTTACTATAGCTTCTAAATTTTCCACAATGAGAAAATTACTTCTTAATCAAAAATAAATTATTTAAAACAAATGTATTACATCTTTCTAGACTGACCAAAGCCATTCATATAATATTTATATTTCTCAGGACTTTATATTTCTTCTTCTGGCATATGTACATATGTGTGTATATAGTTTAGATGTACACACTGAACATTGTAGTGTTCATATATCTTATAATGGTATATTTTAGTTTAAATATAACTTACTTTAGTGCAATACAATTGAGAATGAGACTAAGGTCAAACTTGGAGGGCACTTTGTAGACTATCTTGTGAAACACAATTTTTGGATGCGACCTACTCTTAAACAGCAAATGTCTAAGAACATAATTTGATAATTCTGTTACTTACAACTTTCCATTATGATGCAGAGATTCTCTCTGAACAGGATAACCAGGAAACAGGACCTAAGAATAACTCACATTCTGTGCCCCAATATCTGGGGTGTTTTCCCCGTTGGAAACAGACATGCACGTTGGCTCCCATAAGCACAGGGGCACACAGAGTGTCTTTTACTCCTTGAGGGGCTTTCTGCCTTTACTTTCTTACCTTTCCCAGGAGTCTTCTTCAGCCCGTTCCTTTTGAGTTGAGATATAATTCGTATGCTATAGCCACCATCATTTTAAAGCATACAACTCAGTGGATTTAAGTATTTTCACAAGGTTATACAGCCATCGCCACTATTTAATTCCAGAAACCCTGGAGCCGTTAGCCATCACTCCCCATTCCTCCCTCCCCCAGCCCCTGGCAACCTCTCATCTACTTTCTGTCTTGAAAAATTTGTTCAGGCTCTTTTCTTGGATTTTGATTCTTTCAGGCATTCAGGAAACATTTATTTAGTCAGTCAACTAATACACTGTCACCAAAATGAACTATAAATGAATCAAATGTCCTAATCTAAAAACTGAAACTTTTCCAGTATAGAAAACACATGTCGATTGCTGTGTTAGCAGGATATAGCAAAAGCCTTTCTAACTACAACTTAAAACACAACAAAAGACCAAAAGAAATATTTTGCAGGATAAAAATACCATAAATAAAATAAAAAGACAAACAAAAACCTGGGAGAAACATATTTATAACATGTATTAGTAATAAATGAGTAATTTCTCAAGTATTTTCAGAGTTATTGAAAATCAAGGAATAGAAGAACACACACACACACACACACACACACACACACACACACACAGGAAAAATGGGCAAGCCGGGCATGGTGGTTGATGCCTGTAATCTCAGCACTTCAGAAGGACAAGGCAGGAGAATCACTTGAACCCAGAAGTTTGGTACCAGCCTGAGCAACATAGCGAGAATTTATTTCTACAAAAATTTTAAAAAATTAGCCAGGTATGGTGGTACATGACTGTGGCCTCAGCTACTTGGGATGCTGAAGTGGGAGACTCTCTTGAGTCCTGGAGGTTGAGGCTGCAGTGAGCCCTGATCATGCTATTGCATTCCTGCTTGGGTGACAGAGCAAGACCCTGTCTCAAAATAATGATAATAATAATAATAAAAATGGCAAAAGTCATGAAAAATAGTTCACAGAAAAAGATAAAGAAATGGCCCTTCAATATGAAAAGATTTTCAACTTCCTTCATAATAAGAAAACTGAAAATGAAAATCTGGGATGCCAGTTCTCCCTATCCTATGGCCGATATTCAAAGCTTGACGAAGCTGCAGGAAAGAGGCAGCCCCACACAATGCTGGTGCAAGTATGGGGCTGCACTACCCCTAGAGAGGCACTGTCTAGTTTGTTTGCATTGCTATAGAGGAGTATCAGAGGCTGGGTAACTTATAAAGAGGCTCATTTGGCTTGCAGTTCTGCAGGCTGTACAAGAAGCCTGGCACTAGTCCCTGTCAGCATCCAGTGAGGCCTCAGGAAGCTACAGTCATGGTGTGTACAGATCCTGTGGTGAGAAAGGAGGCAGGAGAGAGGGGGAGGTGCCAGGCTTAATAGGCCTTCGAGGAACTAAGAATGAGAGCTCATGCACTCCCTCCAGAACCCTTCATGAGGGATCTGCCCCCACCGTCTCGACACCTCCATTTCAACAAGAGAATTGGGGCAGGGGACATGGAGCACACCATATCCAAACCACAGGCGGCAATAAAGAGGGAAATTTGGCAGAATCTAACAAAACCACATACTGATTTGTCCTTTGACCTAGGAATCTCCCTTCTAGGAATTTGCCCTGAAGATGCGTCTAACAAATGTGTAACAACACATGGGTGAGGTTATTTATTGCAGTGTTTCTGATAATAGCAAAATGTTATTCACAGCCTGAATACTCATCCATAGGAGATGGGGGTACTGAACTCGGGGGTACTGAACTCAGACATTTGCGCAGTGGGAAGTGCAGTGGGAAACAGTGACACTGCACACAAATGCAGAAGAACTTTAAGAAGCGATCCCTGGAAGTGAGTGCCAGGTTTTAGTGTTATGTAAAAATAAAAAACATTTTTGCAAAAAGAAACACAAGAAGCATAAGTTAAAAGTAATGGAAATGATTGCTATCAGATTAGGATGGGAATGAAATGGAAGAGGTAGAAGTGAGAAGAAGACGTTAAAAAATATACGTTTGACTTTTGAAACGTGAATGTTTCAGTGGATACAAATGAATAAAATTAAACCAAAATCCAGTAAAAATTTGAAAACAAAGATAGTCAAATGAACCTAACTGTGTATCAGATTGATAATGTAAGCACACAGAATAAAGAATCCAGATAACTTTCTAACAAAATACTCCCTGTATATGCTGAAATCATTGTAAGAAGTTTTTGAACAAGTGACTCACGTAGAACTAGCATCTGAGCCAAGCCGAGCCCTGTGTGATCCTGCATTAACCCTGTCTTGCAGGAGGTGAGATTGACTGCGTGGACAAGGATGGCAACACTCCCCTCCATGTGGCTGCAAGACATGGCCATGAGCTACTGATCAACACCCTGATCACCAGCGGAGCCGACACAGCCAAGTAGGTCCCTGTGTAGACATGGGAGTGATGACCACGTGCGGCGACACTGCCAGAGGGCTGGTCGCACAGTGGGTGGCTCCCATGTGTCCAGGTGAGGGTGGATCTGCACAATTACACTGAACACAAGTGAAATCTGAAATAATCTGAAATCTGAAATAAGAATCTAATATTCTTCTGTTCTTTCCAATCAATGCTTAGTGGTACTTTAGGGAGATTTTTTTTTCTTCGAGAGACAGGATCTTGCTCCATGGCCCAGGCTGGAGAGCAGTAGCACGATCCTAGCTCACTGTGGCCTCAAATTCCTAGGCTCAAGTGATTCTCCCACCTCAACCTCCCAGGTAGCTAGTACTACAGGCATGTGCTACCATGCATGGCTAATTTTTATTTCATTTTTTAAAATTTTAAAGTATTTTTTGTAGAGATGGGATCTCACTGTGATGCCCAGACTGGTCTCACCAATGCTTAATGTTAAACAGGAAAAAATATAACATAACTGGAGAAATTCAGAATTTGTTCAGAATTCTTTCTCAGTTTTAATAACATAGTTTTAGAGTACAGTTGAGTAAATCTGCATAGAGAAGGGGGGACCTGACTTCACTTAAACTTCACTTCAGCAAAAACATATACAGCACTTGCATGGGACTGTCATGGCACTGGGTACTATGGGAGACTTTAGAGGAAGGAAGTTATCTGATTAGTGTCTTCAAGGAGCTCATCATTTTGTTAGGGGCCCAAGGCCCACTTAGGACAGAAAGCCACGCAAGATAGAACATTATAAAGTTCTAAATGAAATATAACTTAAGTGGCCAAATGTTTGGTGTAGACAATAAATACCAAATAATCTAGACAGGAGAGGACCCAAAGGTGGCCAGCATCTTCTGAAAAGGCTCCAGGGAGAAGGCTCTAAGGAGGCAGGCTTTGAGGGTGACAACTGAGCAGGGTGGCAGCTACCCAGGCAGGGAGGATGGTAGAAAACAGAGGAAAAGAACACCCCTTAGAGAAGAGCGTGGCCAGCAGAGGAATGGGACATGATGATGTCAAAGGAGAGGGGACCCAGTGACCCCAGAGAAGTGGGATGCAGTGATGTCAGAGGAGAGGGGAGGTAGTGATGCCAGAGGAGAGGGGATGTGGTGATGTCAGAGGAGAGGGAATATGGTGCTACCAGAGGAGAGGGATGCGGTGACACCATAGGAGAGAGGATGTGGTGATGTCAGAGGAGAGAGGACATAGTGATGCCAGAGTAGAGGGTACTTAGTGATGTATGAGGAGAGGGGATGGGGTGACACATGAGGAGAGAGGACATGATGCCAGAGGAGAGGGGGCATGGTAACACTAGAGAAGAGGGATATGGTGACACTGCACTCCACCTGAGGGCAGTGTCATGTGGTAGCTGGGGTCCCAACTTTGGTGGATATTTCCTGAGCTCGAATCCAGCCGCCTCACTTGTGAGTGGTGTGATTTGAGCCTGTTGCTTTAACCCTCTGTGCTTGAATTCTCTCATGTGAAAAATGGGAGGAATAACAGTACCAATTTGTAGGTTTGTTGTGGAGATTAAATGACTTAATGACTGGTAGGATCTGTGCAAGTATGAGTTATATTAATACACCTGCTGAGGTTATTACAAAGATAATCCTCGTTAAGGTTATTTGAACAGTGCTTGGCACACAGTGAGCTGCCAGGACATGTTCACTCTTATTGTGGTACTTAACAATAGCTTGAACCAGATTAATGAGGCCTGACTGCCTAAATAAAGAGTTTAGCTTTGATCACAGAGACGATGGGTCATAATAGCTGACTTTTAGGGGAAAAATGTGGGGGCGGTGTGCATTAGGAATTCCGTTTTATTTGTCAAATGTGCAACAGAATTGAAAATATTGCTTGAAATGAGCCAGTGTTAAAATGGTCTGGGGAAACCATTATGGATGGGATCATGAAATCTGAGTCACAGAGGGCTAGATGTTCTGGGCTTAAAATAATTCTATGAAGTGCTCTGGCAGGTTGGTGGAAATGACTTCTTTAAACCCTTGGTGAATTGGTAGTAATAACTTCACGAAGCGGTTTGGCTATTTGGTGGAGATGACCTCCTTAAGCACTCTGGCATGTTCGTAGTAATAACTTCTATCAAGTGCTTTAGTGGGTTGATAGTACGTAGTGGTTTATTTGCAGTTGTTCAGCATGAACTTGAACTGGTTGGTTTCCATAACCTCGTAGGCTCCATCTCACAGTAGAGATAAGAACAAGAGCAAATGGCTCTTGTTCTTGGTTTGGACTATGTACCAGGCTGTGGGAACACAGTCAGGGAGACAGACACTCTCTGAGTCCCCCAGAAGTGACGACATTTTAGCGACAGGAAGGCTGTGTAGGAGTTTGCCAGGTGGACAAAATTATGAAATAGAAAGAGAGTGGGGACCAAGGCAGGGCATTCCAAGAGGAGGAAACGGTTTTTATAGGACTCAAACATGTGAACATGCAGATTTCCCAAGTGGGTCATCTGATGTGTGTTGGGGAGGGGAAGATGTGAGCTGGGAAGGCAGGAAGAGCCACAGCTTGGAGGACTGCTCAGGGTCTGGGTTCCATTCTGAGGCGTTCGGAAGCTACTGAAGAATGCTAAGTGGGTGCAGAGTATACTGTGTCTACTGATCCACTTGTGAGTGGAAAGATCATTCTGATTGCAGTCAGACGTGCTGGAGGCAGTCAGACGTACTGTGGGCAGTCCAGACCAGAAACTCCTGGCAGCCTCTTGTGGATCTCCAGGGAGAAAAGATGAGGTCTTGGGCTAAGAACATGGCTGAGGCCGACAGAGGAGGGGAAGCTGACAAGTAGCATTAGCAGTGGGCTGTCTCTTTTTAGAAGGAAAAGGAACCTGCCATAAGCCAAAGGCACTTTTCACTAGGATGCCACCGGCTAAAAGAAGCTGCTGGATTTTGTGGAAGGAGTACCACGCTAGGACTCAGGACACTCTTCTGGATTCTGGAGTTTCTGGCCAGTTCCTGGCTGTTGAGAGCCAGTGGTCATGAGTACTCAGTGTTAGTTATGCAGAAGTGGAATGTTGAGGCACCAACCAGCCATCTTTGTGTTGTGTTCATATTTTTGGTGGTATTCTTCTTTCAGTTCTGGGTTACTTGAGGAGTTTTAGTCAAACAATCATGAATTTCTGATTCTCATCCAGACTTGAATCCATTTTAGGGATAGAAATAAACTGAGCCCAATGCTTACTTAAAATTTTCCCCCAAAACCCACTTAATTCAATGAGCATGCAGTTTATTTCCTTGTAATTATCTTGCTTTCAATTTATGCAAACACATACCACATAGCAAGAGTACCTTGGAAATGGTATTATGGTTCAAGCAGCCTTCCCTTCTGTTGGCTCTGTTGTGACCCAGCATCAAAGAGCCACATCTGCTTTCTTTTGTCACAGGAAGTCTGGGGATAAGACATGCTACTTTCATTGACAGTGGTTCATTAAGGCAGTGATTGTGTGTGTGTATATGGAAGAAAGGGAACCACCTTATGGAGAAATATCTAAATGAAAGGTAGAGAAACTGAAGATGAAATTTGCCAAAGCCCTTCAGAAAATCACTGTTCTTTGGGTTGCTCCTAAGTTTATTAAAGAGGAGAAAAACAGGCGTTTTCTTCTGTAAATAAGTAAACAAACAAATAGCATTTCTGAAAATAACCCATCTTTGTCCATAAACAGTATCGCCAAATGGGTTTAAAAAGAGCCCTACACAATGAGTTTTCTCATTATTACTTTCTTATGAATGTATTTGCATCTGTTGTCAACACTTGATTAGAATGTTCTTTGTTATTCTTTCTGCTTCTGTGAACTTTAAAGTCAATGCACATCCCACAACTTGGCTCGGTGTTCCTGCACCTTTGCATGGTGTCAGAGCCCTTTGGTTTTTCCATTGACTTTATGAGCTTGGGGCTCTTGTCTTCAGGATTGTAGAAGCCTTCCACCTCACCAGCTGTGTTCCAAGTTCTGCAGCAGAATTGGGGTCTTGCAGTTGTAAAGGTAACTGATTCTGACAGTCATTCACTCATTCAGTATTTGTTGAGGGCCGGTTAACTGTTATCTGCCAGGTTTTGGGATAAGAAAGGTCCCCGCCCTCAAGGAATCTGTGATCCATGGGGGGGCACATTTTCAAAAGCAATGATAATCTGCATGTTGAGTGTGATACCAGAGCAAGGGCACATGGGAAAACACATCTGAGACATGGAACCCCATCTGGAAAGGCCAGGGAGGGCCTCTGGGAAGGAACAATGGTTAGTCAAGACTGAAGGATAGTAGCCATCAGGTGATGGTGCTGGGTCTTTCAGATCCTCAGTGCAGACTTATGTGTGTTATACTGTGATGTGGAGATGTGTAAATACAAGGCTAGACATAAACTTCCTTGGCTTCGGAAACTAATATGTCAACACATTAAAAAGTTATTAAACATGGGCAAGCAGAAGCCACCAGTGTCCGTGCTGACTGCACAGTTGAGCAGCAACCACACTGATGAGTGCCCACCTGTGCCAGGCCTGGTGGGGGGGCACATTTAGTTGTAAAGCAGCCACGTGGGGAAGTGCTGTGGTGATCCCCATCTTACAGGGAACATTAGTGAGGTACCAAGATGTCCAGGGACCCTCCAAGGTCACAGAGTCAGGGAGGACTGGGGCTCCATCCTTATCAATGGACTCTGGGCCTCTGCTCTGAACACACATCACATAGCCTCTCCACACAGCTGGTGAGTGAGTGGTTATGTTTTGCCAGAGTTAAATCACAGTTTGTGTAGGAAGCCAAGAATGAATCAAGATCAGCTGACATTTCTGTATCTCTAAATCCTTTCTCTGCTTCTAAATCCTTTATGATACTCACCTCACCTCCCTGGGGATGTGCATTTGGTTTAGCTTTGATCACTGAGTGGGAGAGACAAAAACATTTCCTAAATTTAGAATCGGATGATTTTACAGTTCTTTGGAGTTCGACACACACTGCAGAATGGAAGTTTTGACATGGTTCAAAGTGGAAGCTGGTGGATGTGGTCACAGAGGCCTTGACTCATTACTGCTGGCTTTGTTCCCATGGAAGGCTCAGGTGCTGCCTGGTCACCAGCCCTCCCTAGGCTCACATGTGCCATCAGTCCACCAAGTCCATCTGTGTCTCTTCTCACCGGCCCCACCAAGACCACACAAGCACCACCATGAGCCGAGATATGTCATGGGTGTCAACGTGTGGGAAGATGAAGTCTTTTAGATGAGCCCAAATGCTCTTGTGGTGATGGTTTTATATCACCATTAAAAAGGAAGGAGCTGGATGCTTTTTTTAAAAACAGCATATACTGTATGGTTCAGTTTATATGGGGACATGACAAAAAATTTAATATCTTGATTGTCCTGTGTTTACATCACTGTAAAAATTTCTCAACATTCACCAAGTATACACTAAAATTGGACACATTTTATTGGAAATGAATTATATCTGAATAAATTGTTTTAAGGAGAAATAAAAAGAAAAAGACCATTTAAAAATTCTCACAGGCCAGGCACAGTGGCTTAAGCCTGTATATAATCCCAGCACTTTGGAAGGCCGAGGTGAGAGAACTACCTAAGCCCATGGGTTTGAGACCAGCCTGGGCAACTTTGCGAGACTTCATCTCTACAATAAATTTTTTAAAAATTAGCTGGGCACGGTAGCTCATGTCTATAGTTCTGGCTACTTGGAAGGCTGAGGTGGAAGGATCGCCTGAGCCCAGCAGGTGACAATGGGGTGGCTGCAAGCATGCCACTGCACTCCAGTTTAGGCCATGGAATGGAAACTAAAAAAAATAAAAATAAAAAATTTCACAGAGAACTCTTCAGATCTCCAAAATATTTTCCAGCCACCCTCAGGGAGGCACTGAGTGGTCTGTGAAACAGTAGGAGAAAGCTAGAAGATTTCGGGTAGAGGAACCAGTGTGAGCAAAGGTCTGAGGGCAGGACAGGGCTGTTCACGGATATTCTAGAATATGCACCCATCAGGCAACAGCAGATCCAAAAGGGGCCTCTCAAGCCACATCGGAGAGTTTGGACTTAATTCAAAAGGAACTACTATAGACATCTGCAGCAACAGATGGCAAGGGGCAAGTCTGCTGATTGTCACTGAGGGGTGCTTATTAGATACATGGATACAATTCATAGCACTTGATTTTTTTATCTGGATTGATCAATTGGTTAAGAATTGTAAAATCATCCTATTCTAAATTTAGGAAATGTTTTTGTCTTGTTCACTCAGTGAACAAAACTAAACCAATTACACAGCCCCAGGGAGGTGAGGTGAGGTGAGGTGAGTATTATAAAGGATTTAGAAGCAGAAAAAGGATTTAGAGATACAGAAATGTCAGCTGGACACAATTTGTTCTTGGCTTTAAGGAGTCATACACCTGGTTTGAGGAAGCACAACCTGGTTACAGCTTTAAAACTCACAGATACTGGTGGCCAGCGAAGCCAATGACCATTATAAGGGTAGTCATGGCCCTGCATGGTGAGTGCTTACCATGTGCCGGGTATCTGGCTAACACTCTGTGTTCGTTATTTTGTGGCCCTTCAGTTTCTCTATGTTGTAGACACTGTAACTGTCTTATTCTCCTGTGAGGGAACCATCAGGCACTTACTGAAGATCAAATAGACCGCACATGACAAAACCAGGACTCAGACCCAAAGCTGATGACCCCCTCACCATAGCCGCATGGCCTAAAGGGAAGGCTCTAGGAAAGACTGGATGTAGGGAGGGTACTGTGTCCCTGAAGCACAGGAGAGGCTCAAAAGGACCAACATCCTCACCCTGATCTCTCCACAACACAGTCCTCCAGACCTCATTTGTTCTGAAATAGCTGGGGAGGAGATGCTGCCAGCAGTAAATTGAAACCAGCCCCTACACATGCATCCCATTAATTTAATGACTGGGCAGATGAATGCAGCAGTTTCACTGGGATTGTCCTGCTCTTTCCGTATCTTCTGCCTTATTAGCTTTCTTGTGAGCACGTCTGTGTTCTTGGTCTTCTGAGATGTAAACCTGCTAAAGCAGGGGAAGCTTCTGATTTGGTGGACACTAAGTCCAAATTGTCCTGTTGACGGTTTTATAATCCTTCCTTTATTCACAATCTTATTTTATGGCAAAAAAAAGGAGGAGTTTTATTTTGAAATGCATGTATCATTTCTGAAGTGATTCAGAATGCCAATTCTTGCTTTTTTTTCTTTCGATCTTGACTTGATACTTAGCTTTGCCATTTGAACCATAGTTTTATAGTTAAATTCAAATGCCAATAGTTCTTGAGTCTACACTAATATTTCCAAATCCTACTTTGAGGTGGTGACTTATTAACTGTGAAATAAAAAATATATATCAAACAATTTTTACTAGACCTTTTAAATTAGAGTAGTTTTACCTTTCAGGTTTATAAGAAGCAGTGAAAAAAAAATAAGATAATTAGCTAGCATAGAGTGTGATGAATTATCTAAAGAAAGGGGTGTTAAGTGGCAAGGTTGATTAGAAATATTTACAATGAAGTTTATGGAATATATTATGATATTGTTGTGTTATACCATCACTTATACTTTTGGTTTTTCCCAACTGATTTTTTATAGAGTTTGATGGAATTTCCACTAATTAAATTGCTCATATTGTTTTATATAAAGACATATTTTGTATATATTTATAAACTATATTTTATATATAGTGTGTGTATATATATATATTTATGTGTGTGTATGTATATTTGAAGAATGAGAAAGGCTCAAAGAACTCTTGAGAAGCCCAGCTCTTCATTCTAGGCTCATTCTTTCAGAAACGTTAATCCATCCTAGAAAATATTCTATCCATTCTCGTCTTCCAAATTCCAGAGATAGTTAATCATATATTTTTGCCTTAACCTCCCAAAGCAATAAGATCATTAGGTCAAATAACATTGGCCTCAAGTTTCATTTAGCAAGGCACTTTTACAACATGTTATGTATATATTTTACAAATGTATGTTACTCTGGCATCAAGAGAGAATGGTATAAATCATAGCACAGATAGAGAAGTGTCCTTCCCATCACCTGGCCTCCCTCCTCTTCTTGAGCCTCAAGATTGTCACTGAGGCAAGTGCTTTCAGAATTTTCTGGTAAATGCTGAGAGGCGGTTCCAAGCAGGCCTCCCTATGTGGAAGCTGGGACTTGTGTGTGTTGATGGATACCAGCCATTGTGCACTGGGCTGGGAATTTCCATGTGAGAGAAGGGACCAGAAGGGAAGCTGAACAAAACCCCAGGAGATGGAAAGGTGCTCTTGTGGAGAGAGAACGGTGGGCACTTTCCAGTAACATGGAATACCATAAAGTGTCTATGGATATGTGTGTACCTTCACACAGTCATACACACCGATAGTAGTAACTTGGTGATGGCAAAAAAAATCCATGTGCCCAGTGCTCAGTATGCGCAAATCATCTGTGTGTCTCCACGAAGCATAGAGTCTGCAAACAGCCCAACTGGTGCTGGAGAAGAAACCGGGTAATGAATGCGGCAGGATATAAGTAGACATAGTCCCATATTCGCTTGTGTATGGAGAGGATTGTAAAAACTCAGAAGGTACTGATGTATTGTTTGTTGAGAAGTTCTGAGAAATGATCCCTACATCATAAATGCTTGTGGGTAGACCACCATGTTGTTAGTCACGAGCTATAATTCAGCTCACCGCTCTGGGTTCTCGCTTGAGAAGTGACAGGGGAGAAGAGATTTCATTCCGAAGGCTGAAAGTGCTGCCGTTGAAGGCTGGCAGTCCCTTGAGGCATCATCCTGGGGACTGTTGCGGTGGGGTTGGTTTACGAAGTCCTTTTTTAGATTCTTTCTTCAATAGTGCTAGGTTTATGAAATATAAACAAATTAATGTTTATTACTTCTGTTTTTGTGACTGGTATTGTGATGTGGGTTAATGTGCAACATAAGTCTATCAGGAATGTGAAGTCTCACCCACAAAAAGTAGACTTTAGCATTTATTCTTGTTCAAAACTTTCTCTCTTTTTTTTGAGTCAGGGTCTTACTTTGTCGCCCAGGCTGCTGTGCAGTGGCATGATCATGGCAATCACGGCTCACTGCAACCTCGACCTCCTAGGCTCAGTCAGTCCTTCTACTTCAGCCTCCTGAGTAACTGGCATGTGCCACCATGCCCGGCTAATTTTTAAATTTTTTTGTAGGAATGAGGTTTTACTATGCTGCCCAGGCTGGTCTCGAGCTCCTGGGTTCAGGTAATTGTTCACCTTGGCCTCCCAAAGTGCTGGGATTACAGACATGAGCCACCACACTCAGCACAAAACCTATTTTCAGTAATACAGCCATTATGAACTCTTAACACAGTGCTTGGGACATAACACATTAATAATATTTGTTTATTATTAATCAAGAAATAAGACAGGTCGCACTTCCAAGTTGAGAGTTGATCTCCAGCATGGTGTTTGATGCTCAGAAAGCATTGAGTAGATGCATGAAAGGAGACATGTGGTGGCTAAGCTGAAAAAAACACCAGAGGGAAGTTCATTTTAAATTTAAAGAGTCCTGGTTTATGTGAAACAGATTTTCTAAAAAAAACATACATTCCTGTGGTTATGGGCTTTTAATTGTGGTTTAGATTCAAGTGTTTATTGTTTCAAGGTAGAAAATGACTGCACAATTATTTATTGGATGGAAAGATTACAAAATCACTTCAGCCAGGGGTCCTTCCTGAGGTGTTGTTACTTCCATCCGAGAACTTCTAGAAAGGCCACTGTCCTTGTGCATGTGGAGAACTGTCATGGTGAGCTGTTGTCTCCTCTCTCCTCAGGTGTGGGGTCCACAGCATGTTCCCCCTACACTTGGCTGCCCTAAATGCGCACTCTGACTGCTGCAGGAAGCTGCTGTCATCTGGTAAGTAAGTCCCTCACCAGAGGCAAGGCTTGGTGTGTTCCGCACACGAGTCACGTGGCTTCAGGTGTGTGGTCCGTGAGTGGCTGCGTGCTTCCTGTCCTTACTGCCCTGGCAGAGCAAGTCCTGTTGCACAGCATGTGGCAGTTCCCGGTGGCCCTCGGCATTGAAGCTATTTAAATGTCTGTATTCCTGCCCCAGAATGAGAGTCTTGTCTGTTTCCCAAGTAAAAGCTTAGGTGGCTCAAGGTGGCCCAAGCTTGTAGGAAGGATCAGTCACAGAAGAAGGAGACACCACTGAGGCTTGAAACGATGGCTTAACGTTTAACATTTTCAATAAAGCACCAAGGCCAGCTCCCCCACATCTGGTGGTAGAAAATGTCGTGTCGCCTTCCCACTCCCTGGGCCCTGAAAAGCCATTATGCCTAGTTTCCTCTGACTAGGTTTGATTTCTGTTATCTTTAAATGTGGGTCTGTTTGGAGCCAAGAGAGACTTTCTGGCTTGGAACTTTGTTAATCTTTCTCATCACCACTTCTGCCAATCTCCACGTGTTAAGATGCTCCCAGGCTTTCGAGAATGGTAGTCTGCAAGGCAAAGATTGTGAATTAATGCATCAGATGTCCCAGTGGCACTTTTTCCCCTTTAAATACTCTCCCTGTGGCTGATTCCACGTTGGCTGCTGTCAGCATGTTTAAAAATAAGCCCTGCACGCAAGCATGTTTCCTGAATCCTAAGCCAACCGAGAGGTTGGAGCACACTTAAGAAAATGTCTCCCCAGCATGCTAGGATGACTCTTCTGCTTTCGGTGTCTTCTCCACGTGTCTGTCTGCCCGCCTGTTGCCCTGCTTATCTCAGATTGGCTTCATATGTTTCCGTCCTGGAACGGAGAAATGGGGCTGCAGCTTGCCCCGAGCCAAGTGTGAAAGCAATTCCCTGACTTCACGGTTCTTCCCATAAAACCGCTGTGCTTGAGCAGTTGCCGTTCATGTCCATGACAACCTCATTCTGACTACACCTGCTTGCATTCTGGTTTTTCTACTAACTGATTTTTCTGTCTCTGCAATGTTTCTTGTGGTTTAACTAGGACAAAAGTATAGCATAGTGTCCTTGTTTAGTAATGAGCACGTGCTGTCTGCAGGCTTTGAAATAGACACCCCTGATAAATTTGGAAGAACGTGCCTTCATGCCGCTGCTGCAGGAGGGTGAGTAGTTGGCAGTTCTCATTTTCATGACTTAATGCCTAATTCAGCTTTATTGACTTATGGTGCCTGTGAAACAAAGGCAATTTCCTCACTGAAACAGGTAAGAATCATTTCTACCAAATATCAAATACCACTCTTACATTTCCAGATTACGTGCATTTTGTTCTTCCAGAGAAAAATTGTCAACCAATATACATACAGCAAATATTTTTTCCTTTTTTTCTTTTCTCTATCTTTTATTTCTCTTTAAAATTGTAGAGTTTCAGGCTGTAGAATATGTATCTATTTGGTACTCCCTCCACCAAAAGAAAATAACTTGAAATTTGTTTCTAAGTCTTGCCTCTTTGTTGCTGGTAGGTGAGTGATGATCAAAAGAACCCAAAATTGAGTTAATTCATATTCGTTTATAGACATTTTCATTCTTATTGCAAATCTGATCTTTCTAAGTCTTTATGACTAAATGTGAAAAAAGGTCAAATAAACCCCAAAAATAGGCAAGAAGTGATTTAATCCTTGCCTTTCTTTTTTTTTTTTTTTGAGTTGTAAAGAGAATTTTTTATCAGCTACTCTCCTATTTCATACCAGTGGTTAGATTGAAGCTCTGACAATATACTGTTGATGTATGTGACCACACATGACCAAACATGGCATCTCTTGGATGACCTTGTTTGGGTAAGCTTGTTGGTCCTTAAGGAACATCAATGCTCCTCCATCTGTCACTTGCATATTACCATAGGCATTTGCAAAGGTGGACTAACGATGATGCTTTAGGGCTTCTTATTTACCTGGATCCCTTCTGAAGCTTTAGAAATAGTTTTATATTCATAATTCTGTATTGTTTTTGAGAGCTCCCTTACCCCACTCCAGCCCCAAGACTGTATGAGTTTTATGAGCCTTGCATCTTGAATCTGCCACTACCTTTGACACTTTGTGTCATTCTGTAGGATACAAGTGCTTCAAGTCACCTGACATGTGACACCAATACTTCCTTGTCCTAAACAGTTTTTATAAGGGGGGGCCCCCCAAAAAACTGGAATTATCTTTTGGAAGATAGGCCTCTTATAGTACACTCAGAATGTGTTCTTCTGGATCAAACAGTCAACCAAAGTTTTTATCTGGAAGTTTTGAGAAAGTTGTATCACAATTTGTGGAAGAAATATCCTGAGTTGTAGCAAACAGGTGACTGGTTCTTCCACCGTGACAACACACCTGCCCACACCATGCTAAGTGTTCAGCAGTTTTTGACCAAAAAAACAGTATATCCCCAGGGCCCCACCCTCCCTATTCACCTGATCTTGTCCTGAGCAGCCTTTTTTGTTTGTTTCCTTGGTTGAAAAAGTCCCCAAAGGGAAACATTTTGCCCATGTGGAAGATGTGAAACCAAAAACAGTAGAAGCACTAAGAGGCATCAAAGAATTCAAAAACTATGTAGAGTAGTGGAAAAAGTGTCTTGATAAGTGTATCGCATCAAATGGAGAGTACTTTGAAGGTGCTGAAGTTTAAACACATGAGAATAAATACACAATTTTTTATAAATAAATTCCAGGGGGTTTTTTTGGTCCCCCTGTGACTAAAATGACTCGTTCTCCTAGAATGGTGGCATAAATGGCAGACGTGGGGTGAAGAGATTATCATTGAGGTCATTTTTAAATTTAAATTATAATAAGACAGTAAATTCCAGGTCACTTCTCAGCAAACCATGTTTAGAACAATGATGAGTGAATGCCTTTTTTTATGCCCACTGTTTAAAAATTCAAATCTGAATCAAAAGGGGCAACACATTGTTCCAGAGTCACATCATGGACTCCTGTTAGAATTAACTTCGGCTGCGTGCCCTTCCATGGAAATGTTCAGACCCAGGGTCCTTTTCTCCCCACCAAGAAGGATTTATTGCCTCAACTCCATGATTTCACTTACAGCTTTGGTTCTGCCATTCATCTACCCACATGACAGTGCTGGTGACACAGCTGTTTTAATTCCATGAAGGACTGTGTGGGCGGTAAATGGTTATCACTGTGAATTCCCTCCACTGAGATAGCAGATACTTCTCCTCCACACTAGCTCACTGTTGATAGGTGACGTGAAGTTATTATGGCCTTGAGTGGTTATTTAGTAAACTCTTGTTTTGAAAGAGAATTTTAGGGTGAACGATGAAGCCTATTGCTTGCTGTATGGTTTAATCATGTAATAATCATCAAACTCCTTAGTCATGGAACAGAGAATGTTCCACGTAGCTCTTACATGTATTGATTTATTAGCTTTGAAGGAGGAAGTTTAGAAATGTCAGATCCTTACAACACGGCATTGCTGTCATCTGTTCAGTTTCTTTTTTGTCAGCAGGATGTAAACTGGAGCTGTCTCATCCTATTCCACATACTGCAGAACAGTGCTCTCTGAAGACGGCCAGATGGAACTCATCTGTTTTAATGATGTTTTCCCTGTCTTTCTAGTAATGTGGAGTGTATAAAACTCTTGCAGAGCAGCGGAGCAGATTTCCATAAAAAGGACAAATGTGGAAGGTATGTAATCAGAGGGCTTGGTTTCCAGTGTCTAGATGAGAGGACCCCCGGCAGCCGAGTTCTGTGGACATAGCAAGCAGGACAGCAGCTAGGGGGGTCTGTTGTGGAGCAAAGCCCCTTCTTGTAGAAATTTCCTCAAAGCACACACAGACCACGAGGAAAGCATGCCCTCTCAGCTCTGTTTAGAAGTGCCCATTGTGTGTCTGTTTATTTTTCTAATTAAAAAAAAAAACAAAAAACTCCAATGTGGACAGTTTAGAACATTGTATCTGCAGCAGAGTAGAACACTTGACCCCCCAACCCGGAGCCTGTTCACAAGATCTAGAGCATTTTATTATATGCATTGGACATTTCATCTTGAGATAAATTTTTAGATGTGTTTAAAACATTATACACACACATATACTGCTGATTATCTTAGAGCTTTTCCTACATAACAGGTTTTTTTTTTTTTTGCATAAGTAAATGATGTTGGCTGGGTATGGTGGCTCGTGCCCGTGAGCCCAGCACTTTGGAAGGCCAAGGCAGGAGGATCACTTGAGACCAGGAGTTCGAGGCCAGCCTGGGCACATAGTGAGACCTAATTTCTACTAAAATAAAATAAAATAAAAATCCAGGTGTGGTGGCACCAGTAGTTCCAGCTACTTGGGGGACTGAGGTGGGAGGATTGCTTGAGGCCAGGAGTTCGAGACCAGCCTGAGCGACATAGTAAGACCACATCTCTATGAAAAAATTAAAAAATGAAGCTGTGATGCTTGCTGGGACATGGCTACATACTTTTTCAAGTGTATACATAATTTTTCCATTGTACCTCTTCATGTTCCTCTCCACATGCACCCTGGCTCTTTGGGGTTGCTGCATATTTCTCCTGTCACCAGCCTATCTAGGACAGCTCCCACTGTTCCTCTCAGATTTGAGTTGCTGACCCCTTCCTGCCCTCCTCTGCTCCCCTTCCACTCTGCACTGCTGCATCCCAAGCAACATCACACTGTTCTGGTGACTCTGTCTCCCCACCCGACTGTGAGTCTCTTGAGGACAGGACTGCTGTCATTCTCTCTTCATTTTGGGCCCTGTCATGTGGTTGATACCTAATAGTTTTTAGTGGAATTAATTAACACTTAAGCAAGCCTATATGCAAACTACTTAAAGTTGCCTTCTTTTGGACCAAAGAAGAGAAACCAATGAAAGAGCCCATAAATTAACTATAAACCATGAAATAGTTGTACTTGAAAACTGATAGATGTCTTGAAATAAAGTCGCTTTCTTTCTTTCTCTTTTCTTTTTCTTTTTTCTTTTTTTTTTTTTTGAGTTGGAGTCTCACTCTGTTGCCCAGACTGGAGTGCAGTGGCATGCTCCCAGCCACCACAGCCTCGACCTGCTGGGCTCAGGCGATCCTCCTGCCTCAGCCTTCCAAGCAGTCAGAATTACAGGCGCATGCTACCGTACCCAGATAATTTTTTATTTATTGTAGAGACGAAGTCTTGCCAAGTTGCCTGGGTGAGTCTTGAACCTGCAGGCTCAGGCAATCCTCTTGCCTTGGCCTCCCAAAATGCTGGGATTACAGGCTGAGCCACCAAGCCTGGCCAAGACACTTTATTTCTAGAATATGATTATAATTCTCTGAATATTGATTGGTCCTACCAGAAAAGCTGTTAAATAATAGAGAATGAAAATAAGTAATAAAAAGCAAATTGCTTGGTACCTGTGCTGCTTCCCGTTTGCAAGGGGTCTGTATGCTCTGAACACCCTCACCCAGGTTCTTGTAGTAACTCTGAGCTGTGTGGGTACCTTGTATCCTCTGTAGTGGATGCAGGAGCTGAGCCCAGGGAGGCTCAGTGGGCCATCTATGCACAAGAGCTTTAGACCCAAGGAGGGCCTTGGACATGTCTTTGGAGGGGCCCTATTGAGGTTGGGTAGAACAGCCAGGTCTGGAGAGGGCCAAGAGTGGGGCTAGCTACAGGACTGCCCACACTGGAACCCAAACCTTCTGAGTTCATGTGTACAGTTCTTCCAGTTAACCCACATTCTGTCCTCTGGGAGCTTCCTGTTCAGTGGACAATGCACCAGTAGCTAAACTGGAGGTGATGTGAACTTGAGAAAGGCCCAGGCAGAGGGAAGAGACTGACTTCTGGAACATGGAGGGTGTGGGGTGTGAGGGGCTTCTAGGTGGAGGCTCTCCAGGAAGAGGACAGCACAGGCAGAGCTGGGAAGGCAAATGTGATCAGGAAAACGTCGAGCTGTTCAGTGTACGCACACTAATGGGCACATGTCAGGGAGAGAATGTCAGAGGGGCCTGGGACATGCCGGGAAGGTCTTCACTACAGACTAAAGAATGGATCTTTTTTCAGCAGGAGGACTGTGGGTTTGGAACAGGATTGTCATGCTTGGGTCTGGTGTCTTGCCAAACCACTTTTTCATTCACATCAACTAGAAGCTCTATTAGAATGAAAGAGACGGGGTGGGGGGGGGTCTTGCAGTGGTCCAAAAAAAAGCAGTAATGTATACCCAAGCCATGATAGACCCTAGGGAGGGGAAGAAGGCACAACCTCCAGAGGGTGGCCTTGTCTGAGCCACTCTCTCTGCAACCTCAGTCTCACTCACACAGGTTAAGCATCTCTCATCCGCAACTCCAAATCTGAAATGCTCTAAGATGGGAGACTTTTCTGCGCACCAGCATGATGCTGTAGTAAGACTCCTGGAAACATTCTGGAATTTGGGTCTTTGGATGGAGGGTTGCTCAACCTCCTGAAACGTTTCTGGTCTAAGCATTTCAGATGCGGGATCCCTGGCCTGTGTGGTCAGAGGAGGGCATGACCCTGACCTCCACCCTGAGGGCCCGAGGGCTTTGCATACCCTGGGATCCTGCTGTCGGCACCTGTGCTGGTATGGGGTCTGTGTTCTGACCTGAATGAAGTAATTAATGACTGCTCATCTTTCAGGACCCCTCTGCACTATGCTGCTGCCAACTGTCATTTCCACTGCATCGAGGCCTTGGTGACTACAGGGGCCAGTGTGAATGAGACGGATGAGTGGGGGCGCACGGCTCTACACTATGCTGCTGCATCAGATATGGACAGAAAGTAAGAGCAGCCTTGCTTGTTCTTCCTGGGAGGGATTCGGGGGTTGCCAGTTTCCCTTCATCCTGCTTCCTGGAACCTGCAAGTGCAGAATCACTGCTATCCAGACCCACCGGAGTCAGGCATGCCCCGTCCCCAGCTAGGCTCCCCCACTCACTCACACTGGAGTATGACATGTCCCTGTGCTACTGCCTCTCTTTTCTGTGTTGGGTGGAATGCCGAGTGGAGCTGGCAGACCCAGGGCTTAGCTCACTCACTTCTGCTGTGATCTGTTTTGACACACACCGGGGTTCTCATCATTGCCACTTAAATGCTTCATTTACTGCAGAGCCTGCATGTGCTAGTATACATGTCACATGTCAGAGACATCCACCCATGCACAGTCTTGGCAGCTCTCAGATCAGTCGCTGCTGGTGCAACCCAGGCAGGGACCCTCTTTCGGTAGCTGGAGGAGGGGATGCAGGAGCCCTGGACAAGGGTGGGTCCTAGGTGGCTGGGGGTGGAGAATAGTAAGACAACCAGTCCTAGAGGGCGCAGGCAGTGATTGTGAGATCATTCTCTGGCTTGAGGCGGGACCTCCTGCACTGGGTACTTTTGGGTGACCCTGTGTGAAGAGCTGCTGAGTCACTGCGGCCTGTGCTGTGGACCCAATACCAGGTCTATGCTGACTTAGGTCAATGACTTTTAGAGGATGACCCACAGTAGGAAAGGCATCCTGCATCAAGACCCAGTCACACACATTTGTATATGTGAAATGGAAATTAAAATGTCATAAAATCATATTTACTTTTCCCATGTGTGATGCCTTCTGATGTTTTCTCTACTTCCTGGGGAAAAACATCCCTGCTGAGTGCAGCCTACTAGACTGATTTCACAATTCAGCAATGGGCTATGAGCCATCATGGAAAACAAGCCGTGTTTTTTATAGAATGCACATGTTTATAGAATGCATGGTGCATTTATGATACAGAATAAAGTCAGTGCGCCCAGAGTCCTGTGCCTTGCAGGCTGTTAACACAACAGACACCTGTGAGCATCCACTAGGGGCCAGGCCCCAGGCTACACACGTGGAACAGAGTGGGGTGGAGAGAGCAGGGGGACGTATATGCTTCATCTACTGTGGGCTAGAGGAAGGATCCTAGATGATGAAGAGTTGTTCTGGAAGATGAGGGGTGACTGGGACCCTGGTCTCGAATCAATGAGGTGCTGAATCGGCAAAAGGGCAGCAGGGAAAGTCGTCAGAGTCAGAAGTTTGAGTTGTCTTATGAGCTTCTTTATGGGGGAATTTGGGGTGTTTATGGAAGGGCGGGCTACCTGGTTGCAGCCGTAATCACTACTTTCTTGGTGGAAGTTTAGCAATGTCCTGTGCTCAGTCAGATTCCTCAAGAGAGAACAGCTTTACAGAATGGCATAGAAAGTGCCTCGGGCATCCTCAGTGAGTCTCAGTGGTGCTAACTTCTCTTCGGTCGGGGTAAAAATCATTGAGCTATAGCACCAAAACTATGAACAGCTTTGCTGTTAAAAAATTAATTGCACTGGTTTTTTTTCTATCCCTTGTGCTGAGAAGTAAGACAACCTTGGGAAATGCCCACGAAAATTCAGAAGAACTTGAGAGAGCCAGGGAGCTGAAGGAAAAGGAAGCAGCCCTGTAAGTATTCCCTTGGCTTAAGAACGAGGTCTGTCCTAATGCTTTCTCTGTCTCTGGGGTGCCACATGTCCTGCCTCACTCTTTTGGGTACTTGGGGTCTTGAGGAAGTGATGTGTGCTTGCCTTGGCTGGAGAAGAAACTGCTCCTTTAATACATCCTTCAGTTTTCTGCGGTTTCCACACAGGGAACATTCCTAAACTGTCAGTCTTGCTCCAGCCACCACTGTGGCTGGCCAGTGTGTTTAGGCCCAGGTGTCCTGATTTCATTCCCGACTCTGCCGTGTGGCCTGTGTGTCAGGGACGTGGAGCCTCCCATCAGGGCTTCTGCTTCTGCTTGTGTGGCCTGGGGGTAACTACTCGGCAGATGATTTGTGCATTCTTGAGATGTTGGGGTGAGGTACACCATTCGTGCCATCCCTCAGCCCAGACGGGGACTTCCAGGCAGCCCTCGTTCCCCACACAGCTGTCCCTGGCCCTCTTCCCATTGCCTGCTCTGTCTTCTAATGAATAGACAGCTGTTGCTGTGACAGGGCTGGGTGCAGCCGTCACCCAGGGATGTTGCTACCAGGGACCTCAAGGCTCCATCCTCCAAAGGTCTTTCTGTTCGGCGGGTGCCGTGTGGAGCTCGTGGTACCCAGGGTTCAATGACTGCCTGTCCAACAAAGGAGCAAATAGAGCAACTAGTGCCCAGGGTTGGGCCTTTCCCCTGGGGACCCGATGGCCATGGTGCTCAGAGCAGGCTCTCCTCTACGTGGGTCTCACCTCCATTAGCAGAGGAGCCAGAGTTCCTGTGGCCCAAGTGTCCGTTTCCATGGAGGCTTCTACCTCCCTCAGAGACAGTATGGAGGATGGAGTTACCTTTCCAAAAACAACACAGATTTGGGTACACAACCATGATTGGATGGGGACGGGAAACAAGCTGTGTGTAGATGACTGAACTTGGCACCAGCACTGCCACATTTAAGATAGCTGTGGTCAGAGATCGTAGAGCGTGAGCCCACCTCAGCAGATGCCCCGCATCCAGTGACTGCAAGCTTGTCCTGAGGGAGGACCCAGTGGCTGCCTGAGACCTCTGACACTGAGGGGGCCACCCCTCTGTCCACATGTGCCCTGACTTCCCGTTCTTCTGTTGACTCTGCGTATGAGGTGCAAAATTGCTAGTCAGGGAGGAGGAAAGATCAGCACTCCCGGCAAACATGGCACTCACTCTTCCTTAGAGACCACGTAGAGAACACCGAGACTGCAGGACGGTTGTTCTGTGACAGGACTGCTGGCCGCAGGGCTCAGCGGCACTCTGGGTTCAGTCACTTTTTGGGAACTATTCCAAGAGTTCAGATTCCAAATTCAGAGTATCAACTGACTTTAAGAGCATAATTCATTCAGAAACTTGGGATTGTGTGTCTATAAGAATGTTATTCCTATTGAGTGATTTTACTTAAAGAGCCAAATTCGGTTTAGAATGAGTCACATCTGGGCCTTTTCATGGGTAGTTAATTACCAAAATAAGAAAGGACTCCCTATAAGGTGCAATTGACTGGAGACAGCATGGAAACAGGACTCTAATAATAGAGTAAAGCATTTTATGATTAAATTATGTGATATGTAGGTATTTGGTTTTTCTAGAAATTGAAGTATCCGTTTTAATTGTCTCTCTATGTGATTTATTTATTCCTTTTGCCGTATACTGAAATAGATAAATTCCATTTAAACGTTTTTGAGTAAACTATAGAAATTTTTCATTGGACAGTCTTATTTAATGAATAGCTTTATAGAGAGAATTTTACAATTTTTATTTGACTGTGAAATTGAATCAGCTTGGTCTTGTCAGGGATATGTTTGTCCCCTTGTCATGAAAATAATACTGAACTTATGGTACAGTGCTCCCTGCTTGGTCATTCCCTCTTTTCCAGCAAGATGGGCCCATTCTTGGAGGGCAGGGCAGAGTCAACACTCCCCTGGGAACATGTGCCCTGGATTCTGGCTCTTCTACTAAGGCGAGCCATGCTTCTTCCTCTGACCTAATCCAAGGACCGTGCCTTTTCAGAAAATGTGTGACTCTATCTGACTTAAAAAAAAATTTTTTTTTCTGGTTTGTATTTCTAATGGTGCAGATTAAACCTCTTTATATGTGGCTGCAAAATTAATTCTTTACTTTAAAAATGTTTACTCATTCCTTTAATCTTTTCATGGTCTAGTCTATTCCTAGATTCTTTTTAAAAAAATTTCTTTGAACTTTCATTTTCTACCCAAGATCTTAGAGTGAGGTTAGAAGTTACCCCTTCCTGTTGAGAGCTGCCCTCTTGAAATAACTGGCCACTTCTGTGTTACAGCTGAGACTCCATCGTTTGAACATGGAGCTGTAAAACTTGTTATTCTGTAATCTTGAAGACAGACATGTTTTGTACCTTAAGATGAGAAGAAAAAAAAAAAAACCTTAATCACCTTCTTGTTCCTAAAGTTTTCCCTGAATTCTAGAATGGATATTTTAAGCTCAAATAAAATTAGCTACAGAAAACACATACACACACATTTTCAACACATGAAACTTCATTGCTATAGGATTTTTAAAGGAGCACTTAAGCCCATAAAGTCCTTCATGGAACATTCATAATAGGAGGATTCATGCTGATCATCCCTTATGGTCCAGAGCTGCTTTCTGTGATAACACCTCATCCTTGTACTCACAGGTGTCTGGAGTTTCTGCTTCAGAATGATGCGGACCCCTCCATCCGGGACAAGGAGGGATACAACAGCGTACATTATGCTGCTGCCTATGGACACAGGCAGTGTCTGGAGCTGGTGAGTGGTGCTGTTTTGTTTTCTCTAACACACACACTTAGCAATGCTAGTCTTCAACTCTCAACAAATGCCCTCATGCCTAAGGAAGTCACCACTAGAAACTGCCGTGTAGACCCTCTTTGGTGAGTGACTAAACTGTCAGATTCATGCTTGGTAGGTCTCTATCCTCCATTTCTGTCCATCCTGATCTCAGGACTGACCAGCAATTAACTCTGTTCCACATGGCTAGAGTTTGGGCTGGAAATGTTAGACATGTGTGTGAACACAGATTGTATTTTAAAGGAGATTAGGGTGTATCAAATAAGCTCAGTATATATTCCTGGAGGCAAACTTAGCACTCTAGGTTCAATAACTGTGTGGTGAGATCCATAAACAAGGTGGACAGGTTGGTCACGGTCCCACATTTGTAGTTTAGGGAAAGAAATTGGCAAGGATACAGCACCAGAGTTTATTGAAACTTCCAAACCACCCAAATTTCAAACCTACAGTGACGGAGAGACACCTGGGGTTTGGAGTCTGAAACTTCTCTGTTGGTGTAGGTTACAAGACATAACTCAGTGAGGCAAGCTCAGGTGGCGGCAATAAGGAGTGGTAAGGCTTGTGGCAAGTAGAGAACACATGTTCTGTCACTAGGGAGAAACAGCTCTCAGCTCTGGTGAATTGAGGTCAGGCAGGAATGCACACCAGGGTTGCTGGTATCCAGGGTTTCAAGAGAAGCTAGAAATCTAGACTTTTTATGTGAAAATTTCTGTTTTGAAAACACTGGGTGGGCCAGGGGGAACGTGTGGTTTTGTGCCTGCTGCCACCACCTGCCTCTTCCCAGGCACCCCCTGGCTCAGCCTCATTGGGACACATTAGTACTCCAACCCTACCATCTCCCCAAAGGTGCCACCCTTCCGGCCTGGACTCCAGCTCTGTTCCTTGTCCTTTGAAAAGGAGAATCCTTACTTTTCCATGATGTTCAGAGTGGTGTTTGGGGAAATGCTGGTGCTGCATCAGCTCACAGGTCATTGAGGGAGGAGGTGGAGCTAAGCAGGTGTAGGTGACTCCTACACCCCTAAGGAGGCCCACAGTTCATTGAGGAAAGGAGGTGCAGCCAGGCGGATATGGGTACCTCCTGACCCCCTGAAGGAGGCCCATAGTCCACTGAGGAAGGGAAGTGGAGCTCGGTAGGTGTGGGCCTCTCCCATACTCCTGAAGAAGGCCCAGGGTCCACTGAGGAAGGGAGGTGGAGCCGGGTGTGTGTGAGTGCCTCTGGGCTTGTCTTAAGGCACCTGGCTCTAGCCTCCACCCTGACTTAATGGCTCAGCTGAGGAAGTCTTCCTGGACTCCTTTGACTGTGAAGCGGGAATTCTTGTAGGGTCCTCACCAGGGAATCGCAACCACTGTCATCATTCTTGGCAATATCCTGGGTGCCTTCCTGCAGACTCTTGTGGGTGCTGACAATCTCCTTGTCTGGTCTTGGGGACGCAGCACGTGTTTTGCTCCTCTGTTTCTGACTCTGTCTTAGTTCTTCCCTCAGTTGCTGTGGCTGTGCACCGCATCACCCTGAAAGTTAGTGTCTTTAAGTAATCCTGGGTCATCTCTCACTGTCCATGTGGAGCGGGAGCTTGGGGTGGCCTCACTGAGAGCTCAGGTGAGCAATGTCTTCTGCGGTGGCAAGGAGACCATGTTGGGCTGGGTAATGTCAATGGTATCTTTATGTGCGCATCAGCCTCTTGGATGGGAGGCTCCCACAGCCAGTGTCCTGGGGCCTCTCTCTGTGTTTCTCCGAAGTTACTTCACATAATTTCTCTAGAATGGCAGTTCCAGAGTAGCTGGATATCTTCATGGCAGCTCAGAGACCTGGAGGAACCACCCTAGGAGGGGGTAGGAAGAAACAGCGGCAAAGAGAGACCACAGTGCCTTTCATGATCTGTCCTTGAAAGCCACATGAGTCACTCTGCAGCATCTGTTCACTGAGGTGATTCTGCTGTCAGATCCCAAATGGCCAAGAGGCAGCCCCTTATCTTATGGATGAGCAAACCCAGCTACAGTGGTGCGGACTTGTGTTTCCAGCCATAGACAGACCAGGATCTGCCATGGCCCAGAGTCCAGTAAGATGTGGGATCATGAGTCAGAGTGTCACGAATCCTGATTTTAGAGAACATGTTTCTGTTGCCACCCTGTGCTGCCTCCCACTGCAGGCCAACACCTGCTGATATGCAAAAGTGTGTAGGCTTTGCTGGACACACAGGCCACACCACCTCTGCCTCCTAACTCTGGGGTTGCTGTGTACATTGAGTATAGACCTGTCTGCAGTGTGACTCTGTGTTTAGACCCCATATAAGAAAGGCTTCTCATAAAGTGTGTATATGTGTGCATATGTGCATGTGTGCCTGTGTAGGTTCGTCATGATCTATGGCAATGTGCAGAATGACTCCATAACAGCCCACTAGGAGCTGCCTTCCAGAATGTGCTTGGACATGGCTGTCTTTAATTGGTTTTCTCCATGAAAACCACATCATAATTGGACATATAATCTTTGATGACAAGGTTTGCTACTAAGGTCTTAATAACACATGCTGTCTTACAGTACTTTGATGAGTTACCTTTAATCCTTCATAGTTGAGAAACTCAGAATAATTATCTTAGCACATTTTCACATAATTATCTTTTTACATGAATAGTATATTGCACACATTATCTTCATTTTTCGAGAAAACCATTTTGGGACTATGATTTCTGTTACCCAAGTGAAAGATTTTTTGTCCACGAGAAGGCTTCATAAGTCTTGACTGAGGATGAAATTACCCCTTTGATTAGGTCAGCACTTGCTCCATGCCATTTATGAAAAGATGGTTATTTGTGGCTATTACCAGACATCCAAAAGTAGGTGGGGAGGTATTTACCAGTCTTCATTTGTACAACCAGTTGAACAGGACTGGATTATCCATATACATTGGATAATCTTTGCTGTCAATGGGTCATTAATAACGCCCGTAGAATGGGACGTCTTGTCTCACTTTCCTGAATGATTCCAGCTGGATGGGAAGTTTTATGCGTTTCCACATTAGATTGCATCCTGACATTCCTCTTGGGTGTAGTTCTCACTGAGCAAAGACCCTCAGCAGGCTGTAAACATTCCTCCACCCGCCCCTCCCCAGCAAAACAGAACAGTCCTGAGAGTCACCTCCCACTGAGGAGTGGAGTCTCAGAGCCCTGCATTTGCAGGTGTCCTGTCTCCCTGCTGGCCTGCTTGTCTGTGAGCAGAAGACAGGACAAAAGGGTCCTGGGAAGAGGGAGAGGGAGTAGGGCCTCCCCTTCACGTAAGCATTAAGTGAAGAAGTAGGTTTTGGAAGGCACCTTTTCTAATGTATTCTTCCTCTTTCTATAAGAACACATTGCCTTCCTATCCCTTGCATCACCCATTTCCTCGGGTACTAGGTGTCAGGAAAGCAAACTGACTAACCAACATATGCAAGAACTGAGTCTCCAGGACTTTTCCACACTGCCACGCCTGTCTTCCTCCTCACTCCCAACACAACATCCAGTCTTCCTAGGGGCCCCTGATTTGTGCCTGATACTAGAGTTATGCCAATGAAAAGATGTGCATCCAGGAGCTCTGGGTGGTGTTTTTGAGCTTCTGAGCAGGAATTGTGCAGCGAGACCTTTCTTTACTTCACAATTTCAGCCTCTGCTTTCAGCTTATGGAGGAAGAGAGATGGTGAATGTGTGTGGCCCTTGGCCCTCCACCAGACCAGCGCTTTGTCCTGTGAGAGCTGGGGTAGGATCGAAGAGCATGGTGCAATCAGGGCCAGCTGATCATGAGGTTCATAGAATGTGTCTTCGGCTTCTCTCCCCACAGTTGAGCAGTTACTGTGATTGTGCATATCACTAAAACTGTCATGAAGTTTGATGTATATTTTATTGACCCTGACGTTTAATTTGGTCTGTGTTTACTTGGCGTTCATGGTTCATGGCTCATGCTTGTGATCACAAGCTTAGAATGTATAAACTGCACTTTATGTATTTTTTGTGTTCAGTCTGTTTTTCTCTAATCAAAAAGGACCAAAAATTGTTTTAGTTGTTTTAACTTTCCTTCCCTTATACAGACTCATATTGAATTTGTTCCATGAGCAAAACCTTCTAAAAAGTAGTATGAGTCCCTTGCCAAGATAGAGCCAAGGTTGACAATGCTGTCATAGTGCCTTCTTGAGTCAATGTTCATGCTGGCCATGATCAAAGGCGTGTGCACTGCTTGTGGAAGTAGACGTCTGCCCACAAATGTGGACATTAGTCACATTCAGTTGGGCTCAAAATATCAAAGGAAAGCAGGGAGACTTGACCAACAGAGAGTCTTGTGTCAATAAAATGTATGTTTGGGTGGGAGAGGGAGTCAGTGAAGGAAGGCTCTGGCCTCCCCTCTCCTCTGTCTGAAACACATTTCTCCTGCCTCCGCAGAGAAGAAGCAGGAACTGTGTCCCCTTGGAATTTTCGAGTTTATGTTGGCTTGCTGCTTTTCTTTTACAATATTAAATATTTGTCTGGAGCATAAAGAGCCTTGTGGTTTTGGTATTGAAATGGAAAAATGTATGTTCCAATATAATCACACAAATTGCCTACAGAAATGTAGAAACGAAGAAAACTCTAGGCCTCTGATTAAATTCAGTCCAAGATTGTGCCATGCAAATTGCTGGGAACTTAGCTGCTTCCCCAGGACTTTCTGCCCTTTTCACTATTGAGAGCAAACTTGAACTTTAACTGTAAGAGTAAGTTGGGGTAACAGCTGCTCCTGTGTATGTATTCCAGGAGTTTCTGGGATTCTCTGAAGACAATTGTGCCTGGGACAAGTCAACACTAAAATGCTGCTTTCAAATCAGCTGCTTAACAAATTGGATTGTTTTAATGTATGTGTCTCTATAAGATGTAGCTATGACTGGGCGTAGTGGCTCATGCTTGTAATCCCAGTGCTTTGGGAGGCTGGGGTGGGAGGATTGCTTGAGCCCAGGAACTCGAGG